AGGAATGGAGAGAGTGGGCACCCTTGATGGACACTACTCGATGAGCGTAGCTCCCCGGATATCTCACCATAGGCTCTAACACGCCCACAAGTGTTCGAGTAGAGAGCCACTCAATAAGGTGATGTACTTACTCGGCACGCCTTTCAGTGAGTGACATTGCCATAAGACTTCTCGATCAACGGAGTCGAATGCCACCTTCAGGTCGAGAAATACAGCTATTGTTGGGTGTGGGTAAGCGTGTTTGTGTTCCAGGACCTGGCGCAGTGTGAATATTTGGTGGATACACCTGCTGCCGGGTCTGAAGCTTGCCTGCCTGTTTTTCTCGGGCTTGCCGTTCCCGAACTCCAATCAGGCGTCGAAGAATTATAGAACCTATAGGATTTTAGACACTGTTTTCGTCAGGCTGATTCCTCTGTAGTTGTCATAAGAGGACTTCTCGCCTTTTTTGAAGACTGGAATAATCAGTGATTTAGACCAATCAGAGGGGATCGTGTTTGATTCCCATTTACTGGTTAACACTTCCGTCAACCTGACTAAAAGGACCTCACCACCATTCTTGTATACCTCAGCAGGTAGTCCGTCTCGTCCTGCCGCCCTTCTTTGTTTCAGGTTAACTACTGCTTTGTCGGCTTCTGCTAGTGTTGGGGTCCTATCTCTATGTTCCATTCAGGATCTGACTGGATAGCGGGCAACATAGTGGTGGCTGGAGGCCAGTTAAACTGCTCCTCGAAGGGCTCTGCCCATCGTTACAGTCGTCTCCCCTGAGAGTGAATCGCAGATCCGCCCTTTCCCGCTATAGCTTCATTAACCGCAGTTGACCTTTCTTCCCTAGTTTCCTTAATGAGTCTAAATAACTGTCTACTGTTACCAATCGCCGCTGCCTTTTCCATCTCTTTAGCCTTCGCTGTCCACCACTGTTCGCGATCGTTGCGTAGACTTTTTCTCAATCTACTTTTAAGTTGTGCTCGCTCTTCATTGTACTCAGAGCCTGCAGGAATGCATTCACGTGCATCCATTAGTTCGGAAGAAGCTGCTGATATCCACTGGCTCTTTTTAGCCATTATTTCGGAGTCGGCTACAGTCTTCAGTGCTGCTTTTACAGCAGACTGAAGATGGCACCAAGCTTCTTCTGGATGAGTGACAGTATTTTGTTCCGATAACTGCCTAGCCAACTTCTCACTGAACACGGCTTTGGTGTTTCTGTTGTCCAGCAGCACTCGTAGTGGTTTTGTTGCCAAATTTTTTCTACGTCCATTGAGACGCAGGCATATACGTGCTCGGACCAACGCATGATCGCTATCCAAACACGTACTCCAGAAGGAGCGGCAGTCTTCCACCGATCCTCTCCAGCGATGACTAATAGCAATGTGGTCTATCTGTGTCCATCGCTGAGTTGAGCTCGGTGGACGCCAGGTCAGACAGTGCCTTTCTTTATGTCTGAAATTTGTGCTGGCTAAAAATAGGCGGTTATCTGAGCATAGTTGTAATAGGCGATCACCGTTATCTGTACGTTCAGCTGGGATTCCGAAAGTGCCACCTAAGTGCCTTTCTGCCTCACTCAGTCTACCCACCTGTGCGTTGAGGTCACCTGCAACAACAACCACATCCGAACGTTTGGCTTTCGAGAGGAGGTTAGACAGTTTATGGTAGAACTCGTCCTTCACTTCATCCGAACTACAGTCAGTGGGTGCGTAAGCAGAGATTACAAAGAGACAACGGCGAGTTCCACTATTCCTTTTAGTTCTCACTGTGCCATTCAGTCGGATAGCACACAGGCGACTATCGACTGGGATCTAGTCTAGTAGTTAATTTGCTGCCCTAGTACTTTATGCTATGCCTACACCTGCAAGACTGCGAGAGCTAGCTATCGAATCTCCAGAAACTGGAAGGACGAATTTGGCGGACTTACCAGATTGGCCAGGAGAGGTCAGGTGAATAACCACACTTGGGTCCTGTATGCATGTCTCACAAACATAGCACATATCCATGCCCCGAGTTGCTAGAGTCTTTGCCAACGAAGCCTGTTGACCAACTTGACGGAGGGTGCGGACATTAAAGGCTCTGATGTTTAATTTGGAGCGTGGTTTAAGGAGACCAAGGATGCTGTTCTGTGAACGCAGATCGTTGTCGAAGGCTACAGAGCTAGGAGAAATTGAAGATGATATAGTATCGTTAGTTGAGAGACATGAAGGAAGAATAGAAGGTACTGATGGGGGAGGTGGACAGCAGTCTGAGGGAACTTGAGTGCTGACAGAGTTGTGAGGGCGGTTGACACTCTCCGGCTGCCCACACCATGGAAGGCTTTTTCTTCTTAAGGTACCTGAAAGAGATTTGTGTGACCACAGAGCTCATCGGATGTCTGCTTGAGGCCTGTCACACGTAGCCTTTTGTGTATGGTTGTTTTGAACTTTTGTTGTTTTGGGGCCGGTTGGTCGAAAGGAAACGACAAATGAACCAACACCACAGGCCCGGCAGACCGTGGGCATGGTGGAGTGTTATTTTTTGGGGCCGACTTTTACTAACCCCCCTTCCACTGAAAAGGCAGCATCAGCATGGCACTGCTGGTTATCCAACGGAAACAACTTACTACCTCCAGACCCCATCCAGCTAGCAGCAGTACGACTTCGCCCTCAGGCCTTTCCGGTCAGCAACAGTTAGTGAGACACTGAGCAGCAGCGTAACTTCCAACTGTCTGACGGTTTATTAACTATCGAACTACAAGGTGGATAATACATCAATATCGATGCTCCAGCTCTCATTGATATAAAGGAAGATATGATAAGACTTAAGCACTGGACATATGGTAGTTAACTTTCTGTGTTGCTGTTAGAGGTAGCGACAAGAGGAAGCTACAGAAGTCGCTATTGGCTCCTATTCTGAGGTATGTGTATAGCTTCTCAGATCTCTCTTTGGATAGATCTCTAGGATCCACTCATGGAATTCGGACTTATTAGCAAACGCTATTCCAACAAAATCATTCGTCACCCAACAGTGTGTTTGCCATGGATTAACTAACTCTATCTGTTCAAGAACCAGGAATTCGATAAGTACAGGGACCGTGAGTGACGTAAAGAATACCTAAACCACCGAAGCATATGAATTTATCTCATTGGTTTCTTAAAACTGCGCTTTTAAGTGCTCATCAGAGTCTTCAGAAAACCAGCAGATATCAAAATGTTTTCGAGACTTATGTGATAGCTTTGTTTATTTATACTTAACGCGTCTTGACTAGTGTGATAGCTTCACGACATATTGTTGGTAGGTGTATTCCAAGTTCTAATGACAATTCTATTATTAGTAGCAGGATATATGGAAGCTCCTTTACACAGGATGTGTAAAATTGTCAGGGCTGTAGCACGGGTATTTGGGTTTGGAAATACTCAATTTAGTACCTGGTGGGGTCTAAGAATCAGTTATCACAACAGAAAAACATAAACCAACGACTCACTTACAAGGCGATTGCAACTTTGAGTAAAATACTCCTAGAGGTAGTGTATTGAAATCATAATCAAAAATTATCATGTCAGTGTCCACAAGAGACTCAGCATTACTGCGTAAAGTTTCAAGTTGCTTCACGTCATATCAGTACATCAAGACAACAAGGTGAAAGGCGAAACGAAGTTATAAGTCGTTATAAGAGAACAAGGAAAAATGAGACGCTGCTAAAATTCATTATGACTATTAGGATGAAGATAATGGTTAGGTGCATCTACACCATTAATGTCTATTCTAAGCCATATCATCATGTTTTTAACCACTGGTTTCTGTCGTCACACAGCTCTGACCGGTAAGTCTACATTTCCTTAGAAAATCTAATGAGAATGTTTCTCAGGCAGATAATAGAAGAGACCGAATTGCATAGCAGTACACCTGAGCCTTAACAGGCGACTGGATATCAGACCAGCACCATATATGGTGAAGTGGTCAACGCACTCAACCACTTCAGTCCTTACTCTTAAACGAGAAACGAGAGAAAACCAATCCTAGCGCAACAATTAGCACTTTTGGTTGTAAGAAACACATCTCAAACATTCTCATATTGCATACTGTCAACTCTGGTTGGTGATAAAGCAAACTTTATTTAGGAAGGATTTCATCGGATCTAGTTTGGTGTATTTGTAGAGTTTTCTATGCAACTATGATTGCTCACTTTGAAAATGAGGGGTACCAATAAAAGACATAGTTTGTAGTTTTTCTGTCTACTTCTTGTAATGGCTACAATCCTTTGTTTATTTTGTGATACTTTCTGGTCTCTGTGTCTGCTATTCGATTGTATAAGAGGTTTAATGTTGGCATAATTTCAAATTAAAACTTATCAGTAAGGTCTTTAACCCTTAATTATTTGGCCACCATATTTCCCTTTGAGAAATTGGAATGGATTATGAAGATTATTGACTCATAGTTCTACACGTAGGAGTCCCTTAAATTCGACCTTTCGTATCTAAGGCATTAAAGGTCTCGAGAGATAATTCTGGTTGAGAATCTCCAGTACTGTCTTCTCTGACCTGAAGAATGCTATACACTGTAAGTAGCACCAAAAGCCTAACAAATTCGTAATATATGTGTCGTATACTTAAAAAATAACTTGAATGTTTCCAGGTAGAAAAAGGCATATCGTTTATTCTACGTTTGCAGTAATTGATAGGCAAGAAAGCTGTTTATAAGTGTTGTTGTTCAATGAGCTATTCGTCATTAGATTTTCAGTTTATTGATTTGTATGACAATTTGCTTATGTTTTATTCCGTGCCGTCATTCAGTCTTGATCTAACTGACATGCTTATCGTTTTACCTTTAGAATTTTTTTTTACCACAGTTCATGATGTCATAGCGTAGGTAGTTTTACTAGTAACATTTATTGAAGCTTGCTTAATACCTCCACTCATATTCATAGGATCCATTGATTATTTTATTTCATCTTCCTCTTTTTCTCATCCCTTTTACAGATCCCATTCAATTTCTTCAAGTATTGTGACTGGGAGATTTAAGAACACGGTTACACGATGTCATATATGGCGAACATGAAAGTAAAAGTGCTTAGAAGGAAAGATTCTGGTAAATGTTCAATGAGGACCGCTATGGATGTTGTTAAACGTGTATTATGGGATGAAATGATTCCCCAGGAATTTATAACAATCGGGTATTTGGACAGATTTAAGGGTATTCTAGAAAAGCCATTTGATGATTTTTCTTGGGAACCTTTGGATAGTTTGGATTACTTTACTTTTGGAGTTCCTGAACATCGAATTCAGTATTTTAAATACAAAGATGTAGTTGTGTGGGATAAACGCTTCAGACTAGACAGAGTTTTTGGCAGTAGTCGCTCAACTAAAACAATACGAGATATAATTGGAAAATATGAAAAATATTGCAAGACTTCTGGAGACACTCCTGATATCCACTTTGACAAAAAGAGTAGTGAAGTCTCATTTCACTGGGACTTGGAGTCTATGGATGATAACTATCTTTCAGAAAATCAAACTGAAAGCTCTGAAGAAGAAATGATGCCTCCAAAACGTGAACAAACGCCAAATTTCTTTATTTGCCAACGAATCGAATCTCCTGATTTTATTGATAAGGCACTAAAAATTCAATCGCAGATCTGTGGCACTCAACCTTTTTATAAAACTGTTGTACAGATCCAAAGCTTTTTCATCTTACTTTATCTACTATTAGGTTGGAAGATAGTTCGCAAGTAAGTGCACAGATTTTTCTTAGCAGTCTATATGATATTTCAACTGAGTTTTCTGAATTTAAGTTTTATCATAATTTTGTGGATCTGTAATTCAGCAAGGTTTTGTGTATAATTCAATTAGGCTGTCTTGAAGCATAACAACTAATGTTTGAATTCGAGGTCGTAATACACATATTTCTAGCGAACATGTTTTTAACATATACATCATTTTTTTGTCCAGTTCGATAATAATCTGTGCTAGATATCCACCTTTATTGGTGATTCGGTAGATGGCCTTAATCTGCTTATTTTAGTTTCAACCAACATTTGGTTTTTTCCCATGTCATAAACTACATCAACTACAGTGTTTTGGTTCATATTGCTAGCACATCGTTAATTCTGATTATTGTAGTAAACTATCCATGGTTTATTGGCCAGATTATTCGACTATGCTACTGGGTAATCACAGTCTTCAGATGACCACCAAATGGAATTTCCATTACACATCATTTCTAAGTCACCAGCTGTCACCTTTCATCTTCCACCAAATAACCATTTATTTTAGTGGTCATAGAAGTAATATTTCTCATGTAACAAATATTTCTAGGTGGGTATAACTGTAATGTATCTGAAAGATTATGCGAAAACTTGATATTTCGTTTTCATTCTTCAACTGTTTTTATCACATTGTGGTGGAGCTATGTAGCTGTTAATGCTATTCATCGACTACATACATGCCGGTTTATCAGAATATGAACCTTTGTATCTATTTTGACTGAGTTTTATTTTCTTCATCTTCCACTTCACTACTTTTTACTTGATGTACTGAAATGAGGTTTGGCAACTCGGACCGTTACACAGTAATATCTGGTCCTATGTTGATTTTGATGATAATGACGATGAGGATATGAACCACACCTATTGTGTGAAAGTCAGTGATATTGTCTAGATACCCAAACCGAAATAGGTAGAGCAAGGTTCCAACTCGTGACCAGGTGGTTGAATGTCAAATGCCTAGGTCAGTGCACTACAGTTGTAAGAGTACATTTATTGTATTTATAGTATTTTGTATATTATTTGGCATTATTTTCTATGCAAATGTTAGTTTATTTAACAGCCAACCCAACACGCTTTATTTCTATTGCAAATTTCCTAGGTATCAGAATGCATGAAAGTCCTTGAGCATTCAGAAGAGGACTTATGTAGTTCCGCTCCAACAAACCAACTATCAATAAAGGGTGTGGACAGTTTTCGAGGTCGAGTTTTATACGCAGCCGTTGAATCAACTACAAGCTTGGAATTATTTGTTAACCAACTAAATACAGTTCTTAGACAAAATGGTTTTCAAACAGATGACAGAAAGTTCACACCTCATATTTCTTTAATGAAGGTATGTGTGATACTCTTTTGTGAAGACGTTAACCTTATGCTTCATTTGAGTACGAGTGCTAATAGTCAAAAAGCAATAAACAGTCGTTTCTCTAAAGTATGGATGCATGTATGCATGCTCGCTTGTCTAATCGGACTGTGATCTCAGTATAACTTCTAAACCAGTTGATTTGAATTTCATACTGTGAAATGTTTTAGTTAAGAAATGAAATTCCGGATGTAACTTGAGGTGTTTTTGTGTGAAATTCTAGTGAAAAGCTACTTTTAACTTACCGAATATGAAATGATAAGCGTATCACAGGATGACTTATCGAGCTCCTCATATTCGTGAACTGGTTATGCAACCGTAAATTTAATTAGCGGGAATATTGTAGTGATGGTATCTAGGGTATTGCGCAGTAGACTGGGTGATAGACGAGATACTTTTCTCAAATCTTCCAAATTATGGTTGACACACTGTGATCGACCGGTGAATATTCCAATCAGATGGAACATAAAGACCGAATTGGTGTTTCACTGTCTATGTATTATCTAGTAATATCCAGACTCAAGAATTAGAACTGGGCAATAGAGAAATAAAACAGTAACTTATGTAAAAACGCGAGACCAAGATAAGATAACTATAATCTGTCCTTCAGGTAATAAAGCCACTCAAGAGTGTTGTGAAAGTTAGCAGGCGACCAACAGATTTCTACTAGTAAAAATGCGGCTATATTTTTAACCGATCTAACGAATGCTCAATGCGTTCTACCGTTTCATTGTTTAGTATCAGTTGAAATAGTGACTCAGGTTAATCTTGAAACAAAATTTTTCGTTTCAAAAGTGAGGAATGCGTCCGTGATATTTCTAAATAGTTGTTTAAGATTTTAAGGAGAACTTGCTACCTATCAACATTTTGAGATGATAAAATTATGTCATTTTTTCAAGAATCTCAAACAAGTTGCCCAGCTGTGGATAAGTCAAAGTAAAATGTTATTTTTTAGTGCACATTAAAGTTCAATACAAATATAGAGGATAGAAATTCTTGATGAATACTGATAAACTTGGCTGTTTCGCAAGATATCTAGTCGTTATCTTTTATGAACAGTATTTTTGGTGTCATATATATGCTAAAGACCCGCTTTCATGGAGGCCATTGCAAGGACTCTTGATACAAAAAATCGAAAAATATCTCTAACTTTGGGTTATGAATAGATGTGATTGTGTCTGATGATGTAATAACCGTTGAAGACTTAGTCAATGCATCTACGAACATGTCTGAAACTTACCTGCCTTGTTGTGGTTTTCTGTTTTTAGGTTACATTTAGTTGTCTTCTTGCTAAAAGTCCTTGGATCATAGAAATTACGTTAGTCAAACTAATTTCTCTGTGGTTGGGAAAATATTATTAAATGTACCACCGACATTTTTATCTTTGAGTTAAGCTGTGTAAGGTCTTCCAGTTGTACTTCATCAGTATGTTTTAAGATGCTAAGATCAAACAAATATGTGCATAAAATCTTAACATGAGTTGTAAAGGTAGTGATGGTTGACAACTGATCATCTCTAACTGTAGTTGATAGTTATATGGTTCTATGTCTTCCATAGAGTTAACGTCGATGGTTACTTGGCCAGATACTAGATAGCTTCATGACTACTAATGGTGCCTGTTCATGACAGGTCGTTTTCGAAGTATATTTGCAGCACGCTATCATCATTATTAGTTTACTGGGCTAAAAGGACGAAATTGTCATCCACTTTTGTTTCTGCTTTAATCACATACTAAAATTTCTCACCATGCTGATCGCAACTGTTTTCGATCTTTTGTAAAAGGTTAGACAGCTCTGTGTAAGACCCATCTTCCCTTTCTCTTAGAGTTCTGATCGTGGTTACTAAGGGTAGAGGCTACAAAAAGGAAGGGTAGGTTGCAGTCTTTCTTATTTTTTGTTGTGTCACTCAGATGAAGAGCGTTCAAGTAACTTTTCGCTAAAATTCACTTGTAAAGTTAACTTTCTACCTTCGAGGCTATTGCAATACCTAAACCAACAAGGCAGCTAAAGGCTACCGTAGTATCATCAAGCACCTGTAGAGTGAATTATAAGGTTTGAACATTGGTGTTGGTTCGTGTCTTATATGCGTTTCTGCCATCAGATTCGAAACAGGCCAAGGATACTGAAAGCTGAACCCTGGTGTAAGAGACATGAGATAATGTTTCTCGACTTTGAATCATCAGCACCTGTTTACAGGTAAAAGAAAGGTTGTCCTCCTGAATAGGTGGTAGGAAGATGAGAAAAACTTAGCTTTCAGTCTATAGGAAAAATGATGATGTATAGAATCAATCGGTATTGGAGGTGTGCATGTGATTTGAATATTCAAGGTTTCTTTTTTATGTATCTGAAAAAGAAAGTGGAGTAGTATTGGTGGTCTCACCAACCTAGGTGCTTGATTTCAGGGTATAAGGTAAATCTTTTGAGTTCGGCTATACTCATCCTTTTTTGAAGCTACATGCAACTTATTGCTCATAAATCATAAATTTTCGTAAAACTCTCTTGTGTTACAGCCTATCTTGAAGGAAATTGCCAGTATCACTAATTTCCCCGAAAAACAAGTGAAAAGCATGCAATAAAATTCAAGTTTTACTGATTTTGTCGAAAAAAACCACGGTAGTCACAATACCAGTATGCAAAGTGTCTTTCTCTAACTCATCCTAACGCATTAAGCACAAATGATACCTGACTAGGAAATCCACATTTTGGAATCCAGATACTTCATATGGTTTGCAGTATAACCATATAACCTAATTAAATCTGTTTTTTTATTCACTAGAATTATCAGAGCAGCACCATAGTAAGCAAATTCTTAGTTAGTCATACAGGTAGTCATTCACAGATTTAATGGTAGGGCACCAGTTTCTTAACATACCACATAGATTCCAACCCAAGAGAAAATCTCAGTTTTAGATGCGTCTTTTAGGTGATGGTTCCTAAATTGGAAAACCTATTTCAGTGACTTTCTGCCTACGGATTTCAAATATGCAACATGTAACAATTTCTTGGCAAAAATGTTGTGCTACAGCTTATTGGGCACAATTCAATACTCAAACATCACCGGTTGTTAGAGTATAACTACGTTTACTTCTTTTTGTATGTATTTCATATTTTATTCGTGAAAAAAATAATGTTTTTTAACTAACCAACCAAATATTAGGTTACCCGATCAGTATCAAAGAAAGTTGGAGCAAAGAAACTCGATACTGACTTGTATAATGAATTTATAAACATGGAGTTTGGAACATTTCTGATCGATTCAATTCATTTGTGTGCAATTGGAAAACCATACGGTGACAATGGTTTCTATCGTACTGTTGGGAGCATAAATTTCACACATTCTGTTTCCAAACCAAAGTGATCTTGTAAACTTTTTAAAGCTTTCCGTAAAGAAAATTGTTTCGCTTAATCTTTTAATTACTGGTTATTTTCTTTTACAGCTTTCATTTATGGGTTAAGAAAAGTAGTACTATAATATTTCTGCTTTGTTTTGTTTTGTACTTTGTTGTAAATTTATTATTATGTGTATATTACGTGCAGTAAATGACTATGCGAAATACTCCTATCACACTTACTTTATTGGCAGCTGTTATTGGTTTACTGAATCAGTTTCTTTATCGAATCAGTGATCCTTTTTCTCGAAGAAATAGATTTACTTATTTTGGGATTATTAACTCATGCTTATGGTTGATTGGTTCAGAGAATAAAATCTTTTTCAACGACATCATTTCTGAAGCTGTACAATCGTATTTATATATGTCACAAACATATGACAGCCTATTATTTTACAATATAGTTGTATCATTAAGCTAGTGCTAGAAACTGAAATCAAGGATGAAAAGTTGTTGCGTGATAATCTTTTAGACAATGGAAATAATGTGAAAAGGAGCTTGACATGGTGAAAAGTTTTGATAGATGTGAAATGTGATAGTTGAGTGTCCACTTGATAGAAACAAAGGTCATAATGAAGGTGATAAAAGTAAAACAACTAATTATAGTGAAATCGAAGAATTGTGAAAGTGTTAAGACCGTGGTAAGACACTGAATATACTTCTGCACGCAGAGATCAAGCTTGAATTGGTGAATTGTCAGTCCTTCTGATGTTGACAACTGTCGAAAGAGTACTCTTTCACTCCGTAAATGACGTTGAAGGAGGACTCTGGTGGAGCTCAATGTTCAAGAATTGGACTATTAATTGATTTGGATTCTCGCCTTGATAACCATGCAGGATAATGCTCCGAAATGCGTTTGGAAAGTGGACGATGTGTGAGGCCTATATAAATAGCTACACAGGAGCATGTAAATTCTCAGACACATTGAGGTGACTCAAAGAGGCAACTTGTCCTTAACACATCCGGGAACCAATGTCTGACTAGAGAAGCTGTTCTGTAACTTCTCAGAAAAGAATGCTTTCTTCAGCGATTTGAATAGCCGATTCTTTAGGATCTCAGCTGACGTATCACCTTTGAAACCAACGTTCATGAACAAAGTCTTCTTTGGAGCTGCGAGTACTTGCTGAATTACCTCCCTTTCTTCATGACTCGATGGGGATGCTTCATCGTTTATGATGAAAAATTTGACTTTGTTCAATATCATAAAATTCAGAGACAAATAAGCGATGTATTACTGACTGACTTAGTTTGCGGCATCTGTATCTAACACGTTATGAAATGATTCGGTTTAACACATAAAGACTTGACGCTAATGAGCAGTTGTTCAGCCCACCACAACTCACATCAGCACATAAAGACATAAGAAGTTGGAAAAAATGGGATAACGATTAAAATGAAGATTACATATGGATGCATCAATGCGATCGATTCTCAGCCATACGATCTGGAACTACTGATTTCACTTGTCTTGTGGACTCCAACCGGAAGGTCAGTATTTCCCTACACAGTTCCGACAAATAAACAGCAACTTCATAGATTGGTGTCATATCCATATATGATGACTATGCTTTTATCAGCTTGACAGTAATTTAGGGAAACATTTTCTTTTGGGAGCTTATGTCAATATTTTTCTGATGAATAACTCATTCAAAAATATGAGGACACTTTAAACTGCACTTCCTTCATGCAGTTTTATGGTAAGGATTAGGGATTTCCTATCACTTAAATCTACGTGGTGCATTTTGAGTTTTACAGTTTTTCATTCACATATACCGGATAGAGTTAGAAAATCAGTGTTTGGCAGGAATATTTACTATTCTCCAACATAATTAAATCATAAGCTGAAGTATGACTGCAGTGTGTGCTTGAAAGAAGTTTGTTAGCCATTGTAAAAACGGATTTTCTCAGTTGCAAATGCACTATTTGTGGGAAGTTTGGTCTACTATCGTGTTTAGTTACAAGCTGATATTTTGTACTAAACTGAATTTTACATATCAACTACATTTTGTTTGAAGTAAGTGATTTATAACTGGTTGTTGAGCCCTGGTATCTGACTCCAAATTTATATACGCTTCCCAAAATACTATAGCCTTTCTTATTATCCTCGACACTGCTGATTCCGCCCGACAGTGTCAGTAGCAGGACATAACGCGAAGTATAAATTAGGATACGTTGACAAACGAGCTGACAAAAATTTGAAACTAGTACAATTAAACAAAATGTCCAATTATGAGGTGTTAAATATATCAGCAAAATAGTATGAAATATATCCTACAAGGTGTATATAATCAGTAGACATACTGACCAAGCTTATTTGTTTTCAGTTTAAGTCATTCTTCCTATGTAACTTATTTTCTGTGAAAAATATAATTGATATCTGTTCCTCAGGTGTTGGTTGTCAATCCAAATGGAATGAATAATTAGGGACTGTAAATAAAAGTGTTTTTTAAGTTTAGCAAACCTATCAACAGATACTACATTCTCGATAATTGGGCATTTTGAAATAAACGCCAGTAGTATATTAGCAGAATTTGGACTCCATCTCTCAGTCTAATTTCATTTTCCTTAGTCGTAAAATACAGTTAGATAATTACATTGATTGGCCAGTGTAGCATATCCAACTTCATATTGCTTAGTCCTTAGTGCTGATCGAATTTCACCGATCATTTTTAAATGTGATTATCAAGCTATGAGACTCACCAGCACAATGCACTGGGGTAGATGTTAGTTGGGTGGAGGCAGCCGGGAGGAAGCCCTGGATCTAAGTTACTTGCTTTTGGCATTCGCTAGCAAGGCTTATCTACAACATCTATGGAACTGATATCTCCTCTGATAGCCGGACCTCATCACCCAGTGTTTCAGCCAGAGACACCCTTGAGCTATTCAGGCCGCAACTGATCTCCTGTAGAACTTGATTATGTACACTGTTGAAGGTGCAGATACACCTTGGTGATGAGTGCTAATAAGCACGAAGACACGGTCAAAAGCTTCTTGCCTATCACTTCCATCCAACTGACACAGTGAGATAGTATTATTTACTTAGTAAATTCATGGGATTAATTTTTGAGCAATGGGAATTCTCAACATGAACTAGCCACCTTGCTAGCTAAACTTGAAGTCCGGTTTCTTACGTAGTTGGTTCAGCCTGTTTTAACTGCAAATCGTAGTGTTTCATTTTGTGATACATCTTATAAATGAACTCAAATAGAAGCCTCTGCTTTTTGGGTAGTGGATTGGGTTGTTACTTTTTCGCATATGAACTCTTTCTGTTGATAGTTTGATACTTTTACACTGTTTGATCACTGACGGGTCATGGGTTTTATGTTTTTTAGTTATAATTGAGATGCGATGTGGTTATGAAGCCAGGAGACTCAGCATCGTGGTGTACTTTGATTGATAGTTGGTTGGAGATAGTCGGCAGGAATTCCTGGATCTTAGCTTCATGCTTGTTGGCACTTACCAGAAAAGTGTGATCTGCAACCTCAAAGGAACTAATGTCCCCTTAATGATTCGTCCCTGAAGGGACCTCAGTTTCCTTGTGGTTACAGATAAGCCTTACTGAGGAGTACCAAGAAGGCCTAGACAGAGGTTTGGTACTTCTGTCTACTGAATTGTAGTAGCATTAGATAGTAGTTCGTTCTTACATATATTCGCATTTCAGTGTATCGGGGTTTGAACTCAGTGCATGACGTTTTACTCATCATGTATAAATATATCACTAGGATTTCAGTCTACGTGTTTTTATTGCAAAGCAGTACCAAACCTCTGTTTCAGGTATCTATTAACCATTCGTTTTGCTAAAATAAGACAACGGAAAATGAGTAAAGTACACTTATTTCAAATTCCCAGATAATTCAGAACACGAATACTGCCTTGAAATATTTAAATCATCAATGGTTGTGAGTAGTGTTGCTGATGAAACAGAGCATAATTAAAGATAGTTATTTCAAAAATCAACTTGTTTGCTACGGTACGTCATACTACCGACACGCCCTATCATATATAACTGTTAGAGCTTCTCCTACGCAACATTCTCTTGGTGCTTTTCCACTGACTGTCTTCGGGATGTCAGAATGCTGTCAATACTTCATACTCAGGGCTATATATTCAAATATGAGCATCCCATTTTATTTGTTGTGTGTATCCATTTTCCTTAAACTTATTTCTGTGTTCAAAATGAAACTGTCTCAGCAAATACGTACATTTTCTAGCACCAAGTTATGAGCTACATATATTTTGTGAAGCCTAGCTAACGGAACAACGATAGGTGAAGCGAGTTTCGAACCCACGAACCAATGGTTGGAACTCAGTTGCTTAGACCAATAAGCTACAGCCCCACTAGTCTTATGTTCAGTTCTTTAATCTACATAATGTCAAAGTAGGTACGATTAATCGCATGGAAACATTTTAGAAATTTGATGTCAGTTTGTTAATCTCCATCGTTGATTAGAATGAATTGATCGGCTACTGATGGTATATTGGCTCTTATGCGGACGTCACAGTATTGCCAGCATCTTCAATTTTGATATTAATAATAGATAATGGCTAGCAGTAGGATCTAGGACGCGCATTTCGTCCCATTTGAGACTTGACAACTGGATCTTCCGACCTCCTAGTGAGTGATGTTCCCTTAAGACTAATCCAGGACAGAATATTTTATCACCAGTTTAATGCGTCGTATTGTGTTTCAGGAGCAACATCATATTTTTTAACTGTTGTCATCACTAATTTACATCTTGAAATATGTTTCACTAGTTAATTTACAACTTGCTCAAAACGGACGTATGAATTCATCTAGTTCATTTACTAGAATTTCAAATGAGTTGATAATGAGAGAGAGAGGTATCCAGAAGATTCCCTTAAGAATTTTCAGTTAAAATTCCTTCGTAGTACTCTATTTCAATGATTTAGTCTATCGACATGAGCATGATTGGTTGTGTCACTGACATAATCTTTCTTATTTTATATC